CGGCCAAATCTGGTGGAGAGGTTGTTGCAGCTAATGGAGGCTTTACAGAGGTCGTCGGCCGGGATGATGGAGTTTCATGGGCAGTTGAACAGGCCATAACGAAGAGGTGGGGTAGGGGTCGTCTTCGCTGTTCGAAGCGCCCCCGAACCTAAAATTAGCTCCTGCATTCGTGATCTTGCACTGTTACCAGTACGGGCATCCCCTTCGCCCCAGAATGGCACGTACTTCACAGCCATGTCTAAAAGCACCGAGAGGGGGTCACCTTTGGACAAGTTTCTAGGCTCCATCACTGTCAGACATAATCGAACGCTGTTTCCTTCACTCACAAGGATAATCTAGAAACATACAAGGTCTAATTACTCGATCCTTTCCGCATTCGCCAAGTCATCCACCCCGGTGCCCTCCTCCGTTTTTGCTTCCACAACACCACACACCGGGATTTCCGCAAACCCAGCCGCAATATGGTGCAGTGTCGGCAGGTTGTCCCAGTTGCCTTCTGTGAACTCAAGCCGGCTGCTCTGGCTGCGGCAGGTCCTCTGCACGACCCGCGGGGCAGCAGACTCATTGCCCTCGCGGAACAGGACAGCGTACGCCGCGTCAGCCTCGCCCGGTTTCCCAACCGCCGGCACGTAGCGGTAGGTTATGGTCCCTTCGTCCTTGGGTTTGGGGGGAGCATGGGGGTTCCTCGGGGCTTCGGGCTCGGGCTCAGGTTTGTCGGCAGGCCCCTCTTTCAGATCATCAAGGTGGAGCTGTAGGAACTGTTGCCCTCTCCAGCTGCACCCGATGCTGACTGAGCCCTCAGCGTTGGAGTTGATGTCGATGTCACTGAACAACTTTGGCATTCCCAGCTCATCACGTCCCGTGATGATGGGGTCGGCCAACGACTCCAGCAAGACCACCAAGAATGAGCCATGCACCTTGCTCCCGTCCTTCCGCGTGTACTGCACCCCGTGAATCCAGAGACCGAGATACTTGTACCCACCACCCCCGAGCCACTTCATATCCCGCAGCTCGGTACACCGAAAGCTAGCCTCAGCCACGGTCCCCGGTGAGGAAAAGCTGAACTCCGGGGTCGGGAACCATGTTCTGAGGAATGTTGCCGAAGTCTTGAAGCGGACCGAGTACGTCGTGAAACCAGACTCCTGCGCCGGAATCCGCCGGCCAAGGTGGTCCTGGCGAGGGCTGGGCATGGGGCCAAACGAGAGCGGTATACGCCTGTGGACGGGGCCGTTGCGGGACCAAAGGTGCTCCCTTAAAGCGCGGGTCGAATTGTGCCACTCGTCGTGTCCGAAGTTGTAATGCATGAACTCCATGACTGTAATGTGTGTTAGGGCCAGACCACGTATGGGCAGGAGGGCACCAAAACAGTGGGAGGGGTGCTCACTGTTAAATTTCCCCCGGTTTTCGTCGTTGAGGTCTGTTCCCGCTATCCTGGTCAGGGCCTGGACCTTGTGTGCTCTTTCGTCGCGGACCTTCTCGTACAACGCCAACCGCTCAGGGATGTCATCGACGGTTGTGCCTTGGGGTAGAAGAGCAGCTAAGGACGCTGCATCCTCAATGGCAATTCCTCCTATAGTCACATTGGTCAGATCCCCAAATCACCTTGTGAAGCCTGCGAAGTGAATATGCACTCACCTCCTTGGCCCTGATGCGGTAGGAAGGGGTGGGCTGCATCTCCCAACAGCGCCAACTTCCCCTTGTACCAGGTCGGAATTCTATCCATGTCCAATAAAGTCCACACTTTGAGTGCATTGACATCAGCCATCTCTAAGAGGCCCCGCACAGTCGTCCCGAAACCGCCAAACACCTCGATGAGAAGGTCCTTGCTTGCTCCACGACTCCACCCTGAGAAGAGTTAATATCACGCTCTTACAGGGTATCTGATGATGCCGGCAAACTCACCCTCTCCCTTGGAAGCCGAGAGCTCGCTAGGGTGGATACCGACAAAGTTCATCATGGTATTGTCGGAGCAGGGGTACATGACAAGGCGGCGGTCGTTACCCATCCACATTGTCATGATGCCTTCGCGTTTTCCTAATGCTTCGGTAATCGGGTTGTCGCGGACCTGGTGCATAGGAACAAGAAACCTAAACGCGCTCTTGCCCGAGCCAAAGGGTTTGATCTCTGGCCCGGCAACGATGCTTCGTGTAATAGACTGAACAGTGAGTTGGTACTTGAGTTGAGTAAAAGAGTGACAAAAGTCAGGCTTACGCTAACTCCATCCGCCCCCAACACCAAGTCCCCCGAGAATGACGAGCCGTCTTCAAGCGTGACGGTCCCGGTGTCGGGGTCGACGACCGTTACAACACTCGAGGTCTTGAGTACAGCAGGTGTCCCCTCATTGTCTGTGGATAATGCTTTGCGCTTTAACTCTTCGTGAAGCCGGACACGGTGGGAGAGTACCCATGGCTAGGACAATATGTCAGTTCAACCACCTCAATTGCGTGACCATGAAAGGTGAGTGTGGTGGCACGCACATGTTGCCATATCGCGAGAGGTTTTCTCAAGTCCAGATCGAACTTCACATTGCCTTCGCCGTCGTATTCGGCGACCTGGAGGATACATTAAGCATCAATGTACTAGTTGACCCTGTTTATTCCGACTCACCCCATTGACCGGGTTAGCACCAAAAACTTCAGGAAAAACGCCGAACCTCCTGAGGATGCTGTGGCAGTTTGGGGCCAAGTGGATAGCGGCGCCGGTTTCTTGGGCAAGTTGTGATCTCTCAAAGAGCTACATAGGTAGGCATGCATGGTAAGTAAACGATCCGAGACGCTCCAACCCTAGTTGAACTTACCATGACCTCATGTCCCTGCTGACGCAGGCCGAGGGCGGCAGTCAGTCCTCCGATTCCTGGGTACAGCTTCCGATCAGCCAAGCCCAGACTCAGGGGCATCAACTTCAGGGGTGCCTACCCGCCCCGACAACCAACACCTTCAGTGGGCGGGGTGATTCCTTAGCCTCTTCCATAACGAGTTGCAACCGGATCATCGGAAATAGTGGGACGAAGTCAATGATAGGCCTATTCTCGAGCGTCAAGTACTCCCAAGCTCGGGCGTGACTTTGAGCACCATGCGATAGTTTAAGCCGTCTTCGAAATTGTTACCAAAGTCGTTTCAAAGCGTCGGAACACTCGGGGAGTCGGGGTAAGCGGGACATGCGAGGCCCATCGGGACTCGGCTCCACGTTCTGGGCCATGACTCGCGGGGGAAGTGACACCCTGGCCCTGGAACTTGCATGGGATTACACTCGAGAGAGATTCGCTACCGGCCCATTAGGCATTGGCGACGCTTGGTGCAGCCGGGGCAATTCCCGGTTGCCAAGTCTCTTGCTTGCAGACAGCCAGGCAACCAGGGATAATGCAATGGGTGCTCGAGAATTTGTGGCCTTCACTCTCGGTTGAGTCCCACCGTAGCTAATGAGATCCCGTGCTGCTTGCCGGGTAACGAAGCGAGATGCTGTTGGAAGATGAAGACATGCAGCATTCATCAGGGTGTTGTCTTGGTGTGGCAGCCTTCTCGGTATATCACGTTATTAACCGCGTCTGTCTCTCGTGGGGGGCCGACATTGCTGAAATGCCGCGTCTGTCTCATAACACCTCGTTTTCTTCTCGACGCCCTTCGAGTCAAACATCAGGCTGGTACCGGTCAAGTCTCTTTTTCCCCAAAGAACCCCGAACCCACCCCAGAGCCCCCATCCTTCCCCAGATTTTCCCCAAGACAACCAAGGGCAAGCGCGCCAAGTCTGGGGTCCCCGCGTTTTCCCCAACAACAGAACCACCCAAAGACCAAGCCGCTTCTCCAACAGTGTCGGGTATGTGCGGGGGAGCAAGCCGATGGCCCTTACATCGAGAAGGGATTAGTGATATTGACAATGTGAAGGCTGTTGAACACCTGTGGAAACATCACCACATACAAGATCCACAGTTCCACCAGGCTTGGGGGCGGTGTTGCTGGGAGGCTCGTCATCAATTGAACCCTTTCTTGGGTGTTCGAATTCTTTGTTGTCGACATGAAGGCCTTTCGTGACGCTTTCGCCCTTTCGGCGGCCGAGGTGGATGGGAGGACACCGCCGGGGACGGTCAGGATTCTCGGTCAGTCAAACTACCTTTTGGCACTACCTTTTGGCAGCCTTGTTACTTCGTAAAGTCGATTGTTAGCTAACAAAGCACATGCGGGAAGACCAACAGGAAGACTCAACGAGCAGTATTAGTGGCCACCTCGTCAAGTTCCCCAAGCCATCCAACAGCCCACGAGATCCCCTCAACTTCCCTCTTTGGCAAAGAATTGCAGCATTGCTTGTCGTCTCTATTTATGCCTTTATCGGAAACTACACGGCGTCCTCCATCGCCCCAGTACTGCAGCTCTGGTTCTCTGCGTACCCGCAAGAACCGAAGCCGTTCTCCGAGCTCTCGTACATCATCGCGGTACGAAGCCCCTTTTTACCTATCGAGCCCAACAAAATCCCATCAAACCAAACCAACTCCCTAAAAACCCACCAGCTGATTCATGCTCGTTCCCATAGGTCAACCTCCTATGCCTCGGCACGTCCAACGTCTGGTGGGTGCCCCTATCCAGCTGGATGGGGCGCCGGCCGGTACTCCTGATAGCCACGCTCCTCATGACGCTCTGCTCGGTGTGGTGCGCCGAAGCCAAGTCGTTCGCCTCTCTCCTCGCCGCGAGGGTGTTGCAGGGGGCCGGTGCCGGTGCATCTGAGACGGTCGCTCCGGCGCTCATTGGTGATCTGTTCTTTATCCATCAGCGTGGTAGGGCTATGGTAAGCCCACGCATCCCCGGGATTGTGCAGATGGGGTATGGGAGTATATCTAATAGGGAGGACTAGGCTGTGTACACCATCTTCCTATCCTCCGGCTCGCTCTTCGGCGGTCTTACGGGAGGGTACCTCGGATACGGCCACGGGTGGACGAGCGTGTGGTGGGTGAGCACGGGGTTGTCGGCGTTCGTGTTCCTCAGCGTGGTCTTCTTCGTCCCGGAGACGCTGTTTGACCGAAGCACGGTGGACCACACGAGCACCTCTTCAGTTGAGGGCAAGGAAACAAACACCACGGAAGTCGAGGCGGTTCAGGCCGAGCCACAGTCCACCAACCCCAGCCAAGGGTCCTTTACATTTCTCCAGTCGCTCAGCGTCAACGTCGGCAGACACCCCCACGCCCGCGAAAGCCTGGTGTCGTACTTTCTCCGACCATGGAAGACCCTCGCCCTGCCCGGGACATGGGTCGTCATGCTACACTACGCCGGGCTGGTGGGCGGCATCGTGACCATCTCGCTCATCGCCCCGCAGATTCTCGCCATGCCCCCCTATCTCTGGGGCGCCAATTCCGGCTTGATCAACGTCGGTGGCTTGGTTGGCTGTCTTGTGGGGTACTTGTACACGTTCCTCCTCGCCGACAGCCGGTTGAAGGCCCAGGCTAAGCAGCAACGACGCGGTATAGCGGAGGCCGAGGACCGGCTGCCAACGCTCTTCTTCCCGCTCTTCGTTGCAACGTCGGGTTTCTTTGTCTTTGGGTTTTGTGCTCAGTATCCGGGGCCCAGCCGCTGGGTTGGGCTGCAGTTTGGTTATGGCATGATTTCTTTTGGGCTTACCCAGGTGCCGTCGGTGGGCTTCAACTACGTGAGTCCCCTTGTTGTTGCTCCATTCGTGTGTCTCCACTTCTGTTGCTAACCTCCCACAGCTCATCGACGCATACACACATCTGGCAGCCGATTGTTTCACCATGGTCACAATTCTGCGTTCTATCATTGCCTTTGCATGGACATTCTTCGTTGCCACTTGGGTGCAAGACCGTGGGGCAGCAGAACCGTTTGGCATCTTTGGCATGTTGATGGGCATTTTTGCCTTACTTACTGTGCCTTTGTGGATGTTTGGAAAGCGAATGCGGATTGCAACCAGTACCAAGGTGGCACGTTAGATCTGATAGCACAATGAAGGGAGTGGTCCTGTTATGCTACCAGACTCAGAAAGATGCAAACTCGACGAGGGGCTGCTAGTATTTCCCGGCGAATCTTGGCCTACTTACTGGTTTACCTTAGCCCTGGGATACGCCAACTGCATCTAACCAGCCTGTAGTAATACTCGGTGCAATAGCCTGACCCGATGTGGCCCATTCTTTGCTGGCTCTCTGTAGCCCGCTGTATCTGCGCGTCATGAAGCTGCATCCGCGCCGCCAAATTCTGATTCCGCGCCGCGGTCGTGTCAAGTCCTCTGGCTTGGTTTTGTGTAATCCGTTGCAGCATCTCTGGTACCAGGCCTGTGGGAGCATCCACCGTGGTATCTAACCCTGCTAACGATAGATGGCGAGGCCATAGTGCCGAATCACAATGTTGAACTGATTGCGTGCCTTATCCGGGTCTGAAAGCGCAGGGGGATGGAATGAAAAGAGGATTGTGTGTTTAGCCTGCTGGCGGTTTGGCGAGGACGGAGGACATGATCAACCGACAGGAGGTCATACGCATGCTTACCTAGGTAGGTAACCGAAGGACATTGTCGGCTTGGCTCTCCTTGTTGGGACATATCCCACTTTGCAACGCTTGTTTCCCTAGACACACGTTCCGCGTTAGTATGCCCGATGTTTTGTTTCCCTAGCCCCTAACTCAACATATGTACAAGCGTTCTCATCCAAATGCGGGCTGTGTGTACTATGTACACTGGGTATAGGTAAGGTAAGGTACTTTTAACTTTGTTGAGGCACTGGAAAGGGGGCCGAACGAAGAGACAAACAGGGCCTGCCTGCTCTATGGGTGAACTACCTGCCTATTTATATATTTTGATAACTAGATCTCACCATATAGTATCTAATCTCACCCTCCGATCGGTGCGGCGAATAATACTTGTCGAGCTATTAATGGGTCATCTTAGACATGATGTTTGTGGATGAATTTTGCCAAGAGCTTTGAACAACTTCGAGCAAGAGAGATAAATCCCTTACTGTCTCAACGCGGGTTATCTGTATCACCAATAGTCTAAGAGAATTTGATACTACATGGTGAGGTCGACAGGAACATGTAAATAGACAACCTCCCATGCAGTAGGGCGACTGATATATGCTCATATAGTTTCTCTTTTCTCCTGACTCTCTTTTCAGCCCCTAAAACATCAGAAGTGGTGTTTAACGTTTAACCCGCGCGCGCACCAAGACGAAAAGGCGTTTGCACCACACAGTGGCATGTCCCTGGTTACATCGTCCACACATTCCCGGAGGACCGCCCTGACGGCGGCAAGCATGAGGCAAGCAGCTTTGTCCAACGTCCTGTGTTTGCCTACGTAGGTATGCAGCGTCGCCCGCTTTACAATATAGAGCTTGTATAGATAGAGTTGGAGATCGGCGCTTGAGCTGGGCAGGTCGAACATCACCCCTTCAGCCTCCAGTGTCAAGCGAGCGGGGAGACAGTTGGCTAAGCCTAACCTGTTTTAGCCGACGCTTTCTCCTCTCCAAGTTCCCAACGACCATAAATCCGGGGAGCAGGTCGGCCGGGATGTTACCCACCCCATCGTCGATGCGATTACCAACGCCATCTCTTGTCGGCCGGCTTAGTCGCGCGTATGGGCTAGCCCCAGAGGCCCGATTGGCGCGCTTCTGACCTCTATTTGGCGTTCCTTCGCGCTGGACGCTTGTCATTTAGCCTCTTTCCGTTCTTCACCTCCCGAATTTACCCCTGCTGTTGATCAACACCCGCGAGCCGGTACCTACAGTGCCGTACTCCGGATGTAAGTACGAAAGCCGGTGATGAAAACACCTCGTGCGGGGTGAAGGCGTATAAATGTAGACGCAGGTCAGCATGTTGTTCACTTAGAAACAGCAGTTATCGCTTCAATTCCAGATAACCCACGACTAGGGCGGGGAACCATGCGTCTATCACTTTCAGCCATCCTTTGTTTGGGTGTCAAGGCTAGTCTAGCCTTACCGCCAGGCCCCCCGGGACCGCCAGGGCCACCGGACCCGGATCATCTCCCGCCGTATAGCACTTTCAGCAACCGCATCATCTACACTCCCCCCAAGGGAGGCCGAGCGGTCTATCCGCGTCTCGCGGAGCTTACCGACGGCACTCTTCTGGTAACTGCTAGCGTCAGTGGCATTGCCGGTGCCGGAAACCTCCCATCGTTCCCTATCTTCGAAAGCAAGGATGGTGGTGTGAACTGGAAGTGGATTTCCAACCTCACCGACCAAGTCAACGGCTGGGGCATGGGCGCCCAGCCCGCCATCTACGAGCTGCGGAAGCCACTTGGCGGATTCAAGCCTGGAACGATCCTCGCTTCAGGCAATAGCTGGAGCGGCAACGGAACGCGTATCGACTTGTACGCGAGCACGGATAAGGCGCGGACGTGGGAGTTCGTGAGCCATGTGGCTGAGGGCGGACGCCCGAACACCACCAACGGCGCGACCCCGATCTGGGAGCCGTTCCTGCTGTATGTCTATTTCCCATCACGGCAACTGCACAGTCTTTGCTAATAACCCCTAGTGCTTATGAAGACGAGCTCATCGTCTACTACTCGGACCAGCGCGACCCCAAACACGGCCAGAAGCTCGCGCACCAGCGTTCGCATGACCTCAAGACCTGGGGCCCTGTCGTCAACGACGTCACATACGACGAATACCTCGCACGCCCTGGCATGACTGTGGTTGCGCACATCCCGCCCCTGAAGAAATGGATCCTGGTGTACGAGCGTCCAGTCGGCAACTCCAGCTCGCATGGGGTGAATTACCCCGTGCACTACCGGCTGGCCGACGACCCGAGGGAGTTTGACGCGGCCGAGCCCATTCCCATCGTCATCGAGCTCGGTAATGGAACAACGGTGGCGCCAAATGCGTCTCCCTATGTCGTCTGGTCCCCAGAAGGCGGGCCCAATGGGACGATTGTCGTGTCCGATGCCGACCGCAGCGCCGTTTATGTCAATGATGCTGGCGCTGACCCGGAGAAGTGGCTAATCAAGGAGTGCGGCCAAGCAGAGGCATACAGCCGTGCGCTGCATGTTTTCGAGAAGAAACCTCAGCGGCTGATGGTTCTCGGCGGAGATACGTTCGACGGGAACGGTATTGGGGCGTTGACGATTAGTGTAATGGACATTAAGAAGCTGATGGACGGAGGTTTCTCGGCACCGAAGCCGGAGCCGGAGCCGCCTGCTTGCGAGGCAACCTGAGATCGTCATCAGGGGTTGGTTGGTGACTACTAGCTCTGAGAATAATACTACTACGATTATGCGATGATTCCTGCTACCTCCTCATTATCATCCTCCCTCGTCCTAACGTGGCCAAATAGTTTCCGTCCTCAGGCAATTAGTACCTGTTTCTCCTTTTGCAGTTTCTCGGCAATCTCTAGCGGTATGTTGAGTGTTTGGGCCACAATATCAGCCGGTGTTAGTGCAAGCCACTGCGTCAGGGAAATGTCCGCAACGCGGTCCGACTTGTACATCTCAATCCAGACAAGGTCCTCGGTCTCGGACGTGTTTTCAATGTAGTGACTGTAACATATACACCATTAGCTTGCTTTGCCGTGTTGGGTATCGACCACCGGGAGGGACTCACCCGGAGTTATCAGGGAAGGCTGCAGTGTCACCTGCACTGAAGTCAAAGGTGCGCGATGCAGCATTGCCGATGAAGACAGTGGCACGGGCCGTTCCCTTGTGGAAGTACAGCCATTCCTCGGCGTTGGGGTGCCAGTGCAACTCCCGGAGACCGCCCGGCTTGAGTGTTACAAAGGTGGCCGCTAGCGTCTTGCTGGCGGGGAAGTTGGTCGAGTCGATCTTGTAGAATTGACCTCCCTTGCCGGGGACGGGCTCGGGTTCATGCTGCAGGGTCCGGTACACGAACGACGCATCTCCGGTGAGCACGTCACCTGGATCACCGGTCACGTTTTTAGTGCTGACGGTACCGTTGAAAATGTTGGGGTTGGGGGTGGGGACGTGGTCGAAGATGGAAGGGTCAAGGCCGAAGTTTTTGGCGACGATATCACGAGGCGTGTGTGCCACCCAGTCATCAATGTTGAAGGTAGTACTGTTGCAGGTTAGTCCCTGTACTAACTTCATGTTGAGATGCCCAGGAGCGACCAGTCAACTCACCCGACTTTGTCAAAGTCGGCATCGTCAAAGACCAGCAGGAATTCGTTCTCCTCGCCCAACCCCTGAACGGTATGTGCGACGCCCTTGGGGAAGTACCAAATGTCACCAAAGTTGAGGGTTTCAACCTGGTATTTGCCAAACTCGTCGACAGCCGAGATTAGAACGGAGCCCGCATACACAAATCCCCATTCGGCTACACGATGCCAGTGCAGTTCGCGGATGGCGCCCTTGGAGAGATGCTGCTGCGCCGCCGAGATGTCGTGGCTCTGGGGAAGGTCTTGAATGACTTGCTCACGCAGCCACCCGCCTTTGAAGAGCCTCGTCTTCGAGTCAGAGAAGCGCCACTTGAGGTTCGGCACGATCCCATTATCCGTGGACTGCCGTCCAAGGTTGTCGGGATTGGAAATGTCGACCTGCCGGTTCGTTCCCCCTATGTAAACACTTGTCAGCCCATGGCCATCCCGATATGGCAGAAGCAGATGCGTAGACAAACCTAGAAGAGGAGCCCCCTTTCCATTGCCGGCGATGGGTTGCCCCTTCTCAAACTGAGGACCGCCCTTGCCGCCTGGGAGGGTAGCTCCGAGGACAGCGTTCACCGCAGCTAGAGCTGAAAGGTGAAGTGCGAGCTTCATGGTGAGGAAGTTCGACAAATTAATGAGTGTCTAGCACAGTGACCAGAAAAGAATGACAAAGAGGGGATCGTGTGGAAGACGCGATCGAGATCGAGCAAGAGCAGGAGCAGGTCAATGTCCTCGGCTAAAGACGTCCAAGTATTTATAGGTGTCCCAATGCCCCCCAATCAGTCAATCAGTCATTCTCGGGAGGCAATTGATCGACCGTGTGATTGAGGTACGTAATGGGAGAGAAAATACCGATCCGCTGAAATTTGACATTGAGAGGAAGCTCACGAACCAATGAAGACTGTCATCAACTTTCGCGACTTGCTATGTTCGATGGGCAATCCCGCGTCGATAGTGTGAAATGGCACTTGGTGTGGTCCAAGAGTGGTAATGTTCCTGGAAGATCAAAATGGCAAGAATCTAGGGCGCGATGTCGTGATCGTGGGGTTGCGAGCTGAATGTCTGTAAGCTCATGAACGACGTGAATCTTTGACGAGTCGGGGATAGCGCGGTTTGCAAGGCGGAAGCACGACATCCCCTAGCTTCCTCGCAAGATCCAGCTGATTGCCGAAAAAGCATTTAGTTACACCTAGAGAAAATGTAGCGTGGGGAGAAAGACTTTAACATCTTGTACTTACAGCCTGTTGGTGGCTAGACGGTTGACAGCGGTGTTGGATAAGAAGACAAAAGGTCCTGCGCGCAGCGCTACTTAAACACCCCCTGGTAAGGTTCTTCTATGCTCTTCGTTTGAATCGATCTTCCGGTGTCTATACTTTGGCAGTAACTGCGTGTGTTTAAGTATGCCACCAGCTGCAACCGCCGTCTCGGCCGCAGTCAAAGAGGACAACGCAATGCTCCAGTCTCCGAGGGCACCCAGGGCAGCCCAAGCCGCTATGGTGTCATGTTCGTGGAGGGGCTCAGACTGTTCCTGATGGCCTGCACAGGTTAGAAGCATCAAATGAGGCCAAGAACACAAGAAGTGTGATTTCCAACCTCGAACTCTGTGGTGTTGATGTCGCCCCTTTTTTTTCGCTTCCCGCATTGATCGTCCCATGCCGCCTGCGCTTGGGCTGCCTAGAAATTTGGCTTTTAATGAGCACGGAGGTAAGAAGGAAATGAGAGTGAGGTTTGCAGATTAGAACTTAGGCTCGTAGCTCTTGTCAAGTTGTGAGGCTCATCTGGAGCTCATCGTTGACGTGCTCAGTACTCCGTTGCCGGGTGTCGTACAACGCCAGACTAGACTTTAGGAATCGGTCCAACTGAGATAGGACAAACGACTCGTCCATCGTGAAGCCGGCATTGGTGGCTTACGAAGAACTGTGCTTCCGAACAGAGACCCGATGACATCGGTGGGGGCCAAAATTCGACTTGTATAGTATTTAACTTTGGCCCGACTTCACTTGGTGACTTTTAATTCTACCACCTACAAATCATCCTTGAACATCGAGAACGCCATCAAATACCACAATCTCGGAAACTTACCAGCAGCTATGAGACTGATTGTCGCTGGATCGACTGGCTTCGTCGGCACCGAAGTCATCCGTCAAGCCCTCTCAATCCCAGTAATCACATCCATTGTTGCTGGGGGCCGATGCCTGTATCTGGTACTATACCCCCCGTTTGTGACATGTATGCATGTAGTCTGGTGCCTGGAAGATTGGATGTGCTCACCTTGCGTGGCGGTTAACTAATAGGACCATTGCCATCACACCATCCCAGCTCAAGACAACACCCTGGGAGCACACAGTCAAAGTCTGCCGCGGCTTCGCCAGGCGGGGCGTCGAGACTATGGCGCAGCTTCCCCGCAAGAAAGGAAAGAACCCGTTCCGCTTCGTCTACGTGAGCGGCAACAATGCCGAGCGGGATCAAACCAAGAGGCCTATTATCCTAGGTGATTACTGCCTGCTGCGTGTACGGCTCTCCCACTTCATGTCCCCTAAGCTGTCGAGGTCCTGACTCTTTCCTACTTTGCCACCACAGGGCCAAGCTGAGACGCTTATCCTTGAATACGCGAAGCAATCCAACGGTGCAGTGGAGGCGTGTATAGCCAAGCCCGGCCTCATCGGCAGCCCTGACAAGAAGACGCCAATGTTACAAAAGGCCTTCTTTGCGATTATTGGCCGGCCGAAAATTCAAGTCAGCGAGATCTCGGCGGCTATGCTGTATCAGGTTGTGAATGGGTTTGAGACAGACACCCTCGTAATCGCGGACATGGTGCGGGACGGACAGAAGTTTCTAGCGGAACATGGGTTGTAAGTCTAGATCACGCTGTTGCAGCTTTGCAAGCCCCTCTACCACCTTGAAAAGGAGGATTATTTTTACTGTTCGTTGTCACTGCTCTACCTTTCTATGCCGAAGGGCCAATCACCACTGAATACAAATGAGATCTTGGGGAAACCCATAACCATTCAGCCGCAGTTGAGAATAGGCTACCGCCATTGAGACCCCTTGAAGCCAACGTCCTTCTATTATTAAATCTAACTTAAGAAAAAGGGAAAGTAGGACATTAGTCGCAATGCCATCCATCGAGCCTCTCTTGGAGCCATCCGCTGGTTGTCTTCAAGGCGGTCTTCCTCTCGGACATGGCGGGGGCATAGCCCTGACCCATCATGAGTTTGTCGTCCATGTTACACAAATCTTCAACGTAGCTCCATTGGACGCACGCAGCCCAAGCCTTGCAAGCCGCTTCGCACGCATCTACCGATACCCAGGCTCCTTTCCAGAGCGCCGTGTCGTGCTTCTCTTCAGGGGTTGGAGGGTCCGCCTTGTTTGCCGACGTCACTTGGAACAAGCCGGACTGGTTGTCCCACCACTCGGCCCGTTTCTGAAGCTCTGGAGAAATCATGCCTAGAAAGAAGTCGCGATGGAGCAGCGGCTTCTGTAATTGGGTCAGATATCTCGCAAGAAGTGAAAGAATAATTGGACGTAAAAGGGGAAAAAGGAAGGGGCCCAGGGGGTCAGCTGTGGGATCAGTTCAATGCTTACCGTAAAGTCCCAAGAACTCTCGAAGGCAAAGTATCTTGCAACATCCCGATTATGGACTTTGTGCCAGGACATGAGGGGGCTGCACCAATTCCACCGACTGAAGCCAAACCGCCAATGTACAACGGGGTTGAAGCCCCATGTGAACTTCTCGTCGCCGTGGTTTTCTCCGAACCGCACCCCGTGTTTGTTGAGAGCATGCCCGAGCACCTGGTCGCCACAACAATGGGCAGCCGCGTATGCTTCATAATCCGCAGACAGGTTCGAGTTTTGCCCAAATGTCTTCTCCCATGCCCCCCTGGAGAGCGCAAACCCGGCGCCGCCATGAGCGAAGACGACGTCGGACTTGGCAGCGTAGCTCCCGAGGTAATGTGGCTCGCGCCAGTCAAAGTTTGACAGGTAAGCCAGGACGTTGGGCAGAAAAAGATAAGCGTCGTCCTCCATGTAAATATACCACTTGGCCTGGGCCCAGTTGTTTCCGGCATGTTGCATCAGGGGCATGAACTTGTACTTGTCGATAATCCATCCTCCTGGCGGGCCGTAATTATCGCCATCAACTCCAGCGGCCTCCACGTACACGTTGTGGCCCGCGTACTCGGGGTGCTGCCGATATACATCAAAGTCGGCGAGGGCCTGGGTCGTCTTGGTGATGTTTGCCAAGGCATCAATGATTTTGACGTCGCCAATGGTTTCTGGATAGTCGGAGTAAACAACTGTGTTTTCGAGAGGAATCCGTTGAGGAGACATGGTCGTCGTTAAATGAACCAGGAGGCGTTTCCACATCGATGTGCTCCCCGTCTTGACAATCAAGAGCACGTCTGTCGCTGACAAGTTCCCACTCGGACCTGGTTCGGTGCTCTCCAAATTGCTCGGAGAGACTGTCGGGGGAGCCGTGCCAGGTGTTGGCGAGGTTGAGCCTGCGGTTATGGTGGTTGCCTCCCAGGGCGGCGCGGATTCGGGTGTCCGGATCTGGTCATCTTTGGATCCCCATCCTGAGATTGCGCTGCCAAAGTTGTTCACGCTCGGGTCCACGAGGCAATATGCGGCCCAGAAACATACTGTAATAAGAGCCGCCGGCACAAACCGGTTATTCTTGTAAGTGACAATCATCGCTTCGGACCCAGTATGAAAGAAAGTTGCCCGCCCTCGGGCTCAGTGAGATGAACGAAGAGACGATGAAGTCGGTGTTGCCCTGTGGTCCTTCTGCCTTTTCCGACCCCTTGAAGATCCTGGATGCAGGGGCCCGTATTGCCTGTCGAGTGTTACGCTCCGCCCGCTGCTGAGACTCGTTTTTCGTTGACTCACGCAAAAGACAGCAATGCCATTTTATTTTGCACACGATCCATGCGCTTCAAAGTCCCCACGCTTGCCCAATCACTGGCAGCAAGTGTGCTTGGGCAGAAACCCCTAGGATGAATACGACAATGCACACCCGTCGGACAATCCGTCCTCGGACAGACCCGATGGCCAAGCATTTTCTGGACAAAAAAAGTCTGGCTCTAGGCGTAGATCTCTCCTTCGTGTTCGGCGTTTTTTGGCCAGGGGATGCCAGGGGCTGCCAGGCAATTCTCGTAATCCCTGTCTCCGAGGTTCCAGCCGCATGGGTTCGGACCCGGATGCCTGCTTTAATTTCCTCAAGGCTGTTTTTTTTTTAGGGCCCGGGCCGTGTTGCCCGCGGAAAAGGGGGAAGTCGCAAACGGGCCTGAGTGACACAAATAAGTCACAAATAACTGCCGTGAAAATGTTCCAGATCTTCTTGGAAATGTCTCTTTTCCCTCTTCTTCAGCCCTGTGTCCAAGCAGTCCATGCTGTGATGAGCAAACCTTGATCGATCTGGACCAATGTTTCCCGAGAAGCAACATGCCGATCACCAGGCCCGCAACCGTCACAGGGTCCCGGCCTTGCGTCAAGTTCTGAACGTGATCGGCTGTGCCTTGGCGATCCCTCTGTACTACTTGACAACGGCGCACAGTCGGTATCCGGTCACGCTAGACATCGTCATCACCATCGCACTCACCGAACTGAACCGTTATGTTATCGAAGGATGCCGGATGTCCTTCGGCCAGCGGCGGGGCCGTGGTCCTGAAACGTCGGATGAGATAGATGAGAAGGCAGCCATCTACTCGGAGAGTCAACCACAGCCGCCGAGGGTGGAGTGTCTAGCTGCAGTCGTGGGATGGCGAGAGGATCCCGCCCTATATGCCCGCGCCCTCGAGAGCTACAAATCGTCCGGCGCATGTGTGTTCCTGCTTGCGGGGATCGACGGAGACGAGGCTGAGGACCAGGATATGGCCAGGGTGTTCAAAAAGGTATGTGCTCTGAAACACTGGGCTAGATTCTAAGCACGCCACCCCGCAGCCACTGACACATGTCGTAGATTTATCCAGAAGACTCGGCGGTCATCCAAATACCTGAACCGTTTGGAGAAGTGGCCGAGCGAGTCCGAGCCAAGTTCATTGCTCAAAACCGCCACCATGATGAGCCGGTTAACGACCAGGACGCCGATGCTGCCACGATGCAATATTGTATCGAGTTGGCCAAGGGGATCCTAGTTCAGCACGACCTCCGGATTGGCGCGCCAGATGGGGTGCGGCGCTTGTGTCTCAAGCAGCGCCACATGCATAAGAAGGGGATCATGTTCACGACTTACGTCTTTTCCCTCGTCATTGCCGATATCCTCGGCGTCGAATTTCTTTGGTCTTCGGATTCCGACACAATTGTCTTCCCGGATTCGCTTGAGCGTACCATCAATACCATTGCGGCAGACCCCGGGGCTGGAGGGGCAAGTTCCGGGTTGGTTGTTCATAATTCGCAAGAAACAACCATAACGAAACTCGCTGCAGCCGTGTACTGGGGCGAGCTATACCTGACACGGTCCACGCCTGCTTGTACAGGGACGAGCGACTGCCAGAGTGGCCCGAGCACCGCGTTCCGGCTAGCCGCTCTGCCCGAGATCCTTGTGCCGTGGTATCTCCAGGAGGCGCTCGGCAAGCGGATGATTGTGAACGAGGACCGCCATCTCACGACAAACCTCTTGCTCAGGGGGTGGAAGGTGATGTTTGCGTCAGACGTCCTGACGGCAACGGACACGCCAACGACAATGGCGAGGTGGCTTAAGCAGCAAGTCCGTTGGGCGAGAGCAACTCATATTGAGTCCCTGCTCCACCCTCGCGTATATGCCACAAGTCACCCGCTTCTATTCTACGGCATGGCAAAGCGCGAGTTCGGGCCAGCCATTGGTGCCATCGCCATCATATGGTATTTCTTCACCTCGCAGCAGCTCGTTGTTTTTTCTGCCAGCGACCTTGTACTCCGCGTTCTGGTTGGCTCATGCTATAACCTTCTGAGGAATCCCGATCGATTAACAGGGAAAGGGTTGCTCTGGGTTCTCCCGAGTATTTTATTCTACTATATTCCGCTTCCGGCTGTTCATCTATGGAGCATGATGACCATGGGGGCGGACGGATGGGGGACCAGCATGAGGGCCAGTGGCGAACGAGCGAGGAGAGAAAGTTTGAGGAAAGCATGGTTCGAGACGGGCTTTTTTGTTGTGTGGATGGGAATACTGGCTGGCGTTGTGGCAAAGATTCTCGGTCTGTATTTTGGTATGGTTTGGCATGAGAGGGTCGCGGCGGTACTGGTCAGTACTGCCGTAGGAGCATTTGGAGCCTGGAGTATCACAATTGGCGCATCATAGACTACACACAAAGACGACTTTTGACTCCACTTAATGATCTTAGATACCTTATTACGTTTTTTCTACGCATCTACGCCAGTTAGGTACGAACTGCACAGATAGCGGTATTCGGTAGTGTACACTCTTAATAGTGGTGTTGGCTGGCTAAACTTCTTGTATCCGTCCCCACAACATCCCCAGCAACCGTGAGATGCTGCCTTATAAACAGGCGCGCATCACATTCTTTACAATTCCCCTCCGGTTGGTACGGGTACAGGTGGGGTGGGGATGGCGCAATGTATGGAACTGGGAATCACGCTCAGGTAGCGCAAAGCCGTCGATTGGTCTACGAAGAACACGAGGGTGTCTTAGAATGTGAGTGGGTGGTTCAGGCGATGTGAGACAGCGCCTTAGTGTGACCATCCATCAGCGACATTAAGGATACGAGTTTGGTCCCGTGGGGGTCTTTTAGGAACGCCGCCAGCGGAAATCCTGAGGGGTTCTGGAGGGGGAGCTGCATCACGCGGGCAGAGCCGGGGAGTCCCCTCATTGCCCCAACCGTGGTTAGATTCATATGCCGTCGGCTGCGTGGGGTGCAAACCTTGGTATCTTCAGAGTATGTACATACCGTACATGCCTACATGTTGGAGCCCACCAACTTTCCGTATTAGCGACTTCACCTGAGATTTGAGTCCTTGGCTTCAAGTTGTATTGCCATCCGGTGATAACTGAGAGCGTGGAACTACCCAACATGAGGTGTTCGAGGGTCTATAGTCCGTGTCTTCTGATGATGAGTTGGGTTGGCGCTGCTGGCGCTTTCATTTCTTGCTTGCGGTTTCAGGCGGCTTTCAATCCCTCTCGCCAACCTTAAAACACAAGATCACTGAAAAGAGTCAACCCCGTCCCCAAACCCTCAAAAAGGAGACTGAGAAAACGAAGACTAAAGAATAGCAACCGGTAAAAAAAAAGCGTAAATGGAGGGCAGAGAAAAAATAAGAAAGGAAAAAGAAGATGGGAAAGACTGAAGATTCCCGATAAGCTTCGTTTCACGACGACGAATTGAGTGGCTCTCGATCGAAACTGGCTGCAGTTCGGCTTTTTTTGCTCAGGCGATGCGGCTGCGGGTCACGACGTCCATGCAAGCCACCATCTCTGGAACTAGAAGTGGGTAGCTACCTGCGGCGTCCGATCTTCGCATTCAGTTGCCGCGGCCGCGGGCCCTGAGGTTAGTATCGTCGCATGTCTCTTTATCTTTCTTTTCGTTGTTCCATGGTTCCTTGCTGCGTGTGTACAATACATATTTTTACTCGTCATATCGCAACATGACTCGGATCTTATCGAGCTTTTGAGGAGCGACGACGATTTCGGTGCAAACCCCAGCCAAGTTTATGCGCTAACCGGCACCCCCGCTTACCGTCGCTTCGGCGGCCTGGGCTGCCCCTCGGTCAGCCTTGCGCATCGGCCCGCCGCCCCTCCTCAAGCGACTGGCCCAAATCCATCTCTGGTTTGCGGAACCAGCAACCTGGAAGAACTCCCACCCAACTCTCCCCTCTAAATCACGACCATGGCAACCTCCCACCCAACCGAGCATCGACATATGCGCAGCGGTAGCCTCAACATCCCACCCCAGGCCACCCGCTCGAGCGGCGCGATGGGTGCGATGCCCGCCGCGCGGTTTGAAGGGCCACGCAGCCCACCAAGTGAGCCTCTTGCCATCCCGAATTTTCCTGCCCGCCGAACCTTCCGCTCATGCATCTCTTTGCATGGCGTACCGGTAGCGCCGGTATGGAGGGAGCCAGCGACGCTCGTACTGATCTGTCCCCTCAAACTAGATACCTCTCACGTGCCCTGCAAATTCTTTCGACAAGGCGCTTGCCAGGCGGGCAATGCGTGCCCTTTTAGCCACGACCTCGGGAGCGCCGCCGAGACGGTGTGCAAGTATTTTGCAAAGGTGTGTGTCCTCGAGTCCTCTCTGCTTTGTTTGTCTCACGATACGTGCGTGCATCTGCCGACGCTGGCCGAGGGTTCTTGAACATCCTGACACTAATTCATCGTCGCACGCTACGTAGGGCAACTGCAAGTTTGGCCCGAAATGCGCCAATATCCACGTACTGCCCGACGGCCGCCGTATCAACTACGGCAAGAATGGCGTGACGATAGGGGCGCCTCCGGGAGTTCCTCTCGGCGCTCGCGTGAATCCGACAACATACCATCAGCCGTCCAACAGCGCGCTGACCAACTCGTTCTTGCGTGCCGACCAGTTGCCACCCTACACAACCTCAGGTCCCTACGGCGTGCAGGATGACGCCTATGGCCACCAGTTGATGGAGAATGGCCTCCCTATTATCGATACCACCTACAGCTCTAACCCGGCTTCTGCTTACGGCTCACCGCGGGACGAGGACACAAGCCGTCTAGGGCTTGGTCTCTCGCCTGCGAACGCCAAGGGCCTCTCGGTCCTCGACGCTCCGCTGCCGGCGTCCTTTGACAGCAATGGCATATCGCTGGCTGCCCGATATGGGCCATGGCCCGCCTCCGTCCCCTCGAAATTTGGCCTTGAATCCCCTTCGCCGTCGCTCCACTCGGCCAGGGACGCTCGCACCTCCGAAACACTGAAGCTCTTGCACACCTCCGCTTTTGGTAGCAACGAGCATCTGCCGCCCTCTGCTGTTGGCACAAACGACGCAAACGGCTTCGGAAGCAGCCCGCCCGTGGGCTCCGCCACCCTTGGTTCGGTGCTAGGGAGCGACGAATATTTCGGGAAACGACTCATGCACAGTAGCGCAATGCGGTACACCAAACCGCGCTTGATCAGCAGCAGCGTCCCGAAGATCGATCGCGACTGGGAGGCGGAATTCATGTTCGAAGAAGACTATGTGCCGGGGGCCCTGGCAAACGAGGTGCTCACTCCAGCCGAGAAAGCGCGGAGGGGTTCGACGACCAACACAGTGCGGATGACCGACACCATGGAATCGGGTCCCGAGTCCCTGCCGATTGGAGCGACGAAATTTGGCAGCCCCCTGGGAGCGAGCCCGAGTCGCTGGGGACCCCTGTTCCAGCGCCAAAAAGAAGAAGATTTTGACGCTGGCGGTTCTGCTCGCTCCATGAAGCATGTTTCTGCGTTTGGCCACGTGGGAAGTCCGCTAAGAAACTCGAGCCTTGCATCTGCTCTCACGGCCGAGCTCAACCGAGAACCAGGAAAAGATGGTGGGGGCGAATCAGTCTCCGCCTTGACCCGGCAGCTTCGAGAGACGCAGCTGACCGAAGGCGGATCTGGCAATTCCAGCCCCCATTTACACCCGGCCGGACTACGGAACCAAAAATCGGGCGGTTCTGGCGCGGCTGGTGCGGGCGTGATAGGGAAAGAGCGGGAGCGGGAGCGAGCCGTGGAGCGACACATCAGTAGCGGTTCCATTAGCTCAGCCGTGACCGGGCGGTTCACCACTCCCATTGACGAGGAGGATTCGTCGTTTGTCTTTAGGATGGAGGAAGAAGACGACCCCCAAACGCGCGCCAGGAAGCGTGTGTCGGGAGGCAACCTCGGAGCCACGAGCCCTCTGAGCGCCGCCTGGAGCTACGCCAACGTTGTCGCCACCAACAGGGCCGCCACGGGGGCCCCGAATGGCAGCAAAGGCGGGGCAGGGAATAACTCTGAAACGGTCGTAGGGAGATGAACCGGTCAAAGAGGCTATGGTCTTTGCGAGTACCGTACAGGACGGACATAAAACAGCATGATAACGACTGCATTGAGACATAGCAACGGAGTGCATTAACCTCTTTCAACACGCCCAAACATAGTGATGGGACGTATCCCTCAGAACACCCGGCTCGGCGTTAGATATCCCAAAAGGCATCGACAACTCGGCAGTTGACGACGTTGTATTTCCTTCTTTTTGCCTCGGAGGGGAGTGTCAGGATATTCTTGTATAGACGGTTGCAAGAGGGCGTTTCCGGTAGGTGGATGGCGCACATGGATGGGACTAGGGAGGAAAACGTCTAATTCAAATAATCTCAAATCCATCAACCAGTAATCTTGACCATGATGTAAAAGATGTTATTAGTTAGCAGGGCTTGTTACCTGCGTGAGGCGGACGCTCGGCAGGGGATGGATCAGAACACCCAGCAAGGTTCCACAGTCCGGCAGCTCCTCGATAGACAACATCCTTGACTGCACGCAGTGTGGGGAAGCTGAGCGGGCAAACGATTCCTTCATTCTCATCTATCGGAGTTGGGATATCGCCCCACAAGACACATAAATACACCCAAGCAGGCCAAGTCCACATGAAGTTTTGAGTATTACGGCTGCCCCGGCTCCAACACCCTCTCTAACCGACCAGGGAGCGGCGTGGCATGCTGCGTGCTGTTACGGCCAGATATGGTACATGCAAGAGATGCGAAAAGCTTAGTTGGCGTCCGGCTGGCTGAGGATGTACTCGACGGCCTTGTCCACTGTTCCCCGGCACCGATGTCAGCGTCTCGGCCAGCAAGAGCCCCGACGGGTGAGAACTTACCGCTGTGGATGGTGTCGGCGTCCTTGTCAGGGATCTCGATGCTGAACTCCTGTATTAGGGTTGGCTGTCAGCGCTGCGACACGTTTCGTAGCACATATCTTTGGGGGCCGCAAGACCGCGGCCCCACCACCAGTAAAGCGGGACAGTCAAACATACCTCCTCGATAGCCATCACGACCTCAACGGTGTCTAAGCTGTCCAAGCCCAAGTCGTTGGCGAAGTGTGCGGTCTCTTTAATCTGTCACGTGGAAGGCAGGCCATGTTAGACTCTAAAAGCACTGGGGCGCTCGGGTTCGGGACAACGGGTCCTCGGCGGGGGAAGCTAGGTAGTAGCACTCACGTTGCTGGGGTCGTTGACCTAGAGCGACCGAGTTAGCTTTCGAATCACACAGCTGAATCCTGGATCAAGCAAAGCCGAGGGGAGTTTGGCCCTCGGCCCCCACACCGGAGATGCGCGGCCACGGATGTGCACCTTGCCCCTCATGATCCAACGGTCGAGATTGAACAGGAAGGCAGACGAACCTTGTCAAAGCCGGATAGGAGCTGCTTGATGCGCTCATAAACCTCGGTCTTGTCGAGGGAGCTGCCCGAGGCGTAGCATCGCACCGCTTGCCACGCCGCTACCTTGGGCACAAAGGAGGTCGTTCTCGACGCCGGGGCGATGGCCAATCTCCTGGAAGCAACGGCGGGGAAAGGGCGAGCGGCGGTCCGTGTCGCGGCAGCGGCGGATCGGAGGATGGTGGTACGGAGCATGCTGTCAGTTGGTTCGATTTCCTGGGAAGTGTGGTCGTCGTGGGGATCGCAATTGGGCCGAGGAGTGAACGTTGGATCAAGGGTGCAGGGGAATCGAGTGTTGACGCTGCTTTGGCCGATAAATTTCTCGCTGAAAGCCGGGATGCACAACGGAGCTCGGAGCGCATGCGCCAAGCTCAACTCCAGCTGGGTGGTTCGTGCTCCATCACGTGACCCCAAGCCGAGCCGACCACAACGCAAACTCCCAGGGAGGGATGCTCGAGGGATGGGCGGAATCAAGGGAAATCCGTGAGCCCAGTACAATGTTCTCCGTTACCTTGGATGTTTTCGGGTTCTTCTATTTGACTTGTCGACAACAAGAGACATGGACGATGGAAACGAGGTTAGCCTCATATACGACGATGTTGAGCTTCCGTTTTCTGGACAGTGGGTGATAGGGTGAGTCAACATCGACAAGCAGTTCTCAAGAGAGCAACAAAGGAAAGCAATTGTCTGTTGCGTTTGCTTTTGTATAAAACGGTATGTACAACAACACTGCCTACAATTTTGTGGCATCGAATCCCCAACCCGGAACAGTCCAAAAATCTGCACAGCGGTGATTATCTGTAGGGAGCGTCTGCCCTGATGGCAGCCGCCAGCTCGGGCTCCCATTTGTCTCCGTTAGAAAGCAATTTCTCTGTTGCGTGTTAGCCACGGGCACGGCAATTTGAGGGAAGTGCGACTGGGCTGTACCCTTGTTGTAGAGGAGCTCCTCGCGAGTCTCGGTAGCATACTCGGCGTTCGGGGATTCGACGATAGCGTCGACAGGACATGACTCTTGACAGAAACCGCAGTAGATGCACTTGGTCATGTCAATATCGTAGCGAGTTGTTCGCCTGGAGCCGTCGGCACGCTCCTCGGCCTCAATCGTGATGGCCTGGGCGGGGCAAACGGCCTCGCACAGCTTGCAGGCAATGCATCTCTCCTCACCCGAGGGGTACCGGCGTAAAGCGTGTTCTCCGCGGAAACGGGGAGAAATGGGACCCTGTACAGGCGTCAGCGCTCCGCCAACCTCAATTGGCAACTGTCCGGCCAAGTCCCCTAATGCTAGCCAGCATTGTACACAGGCCGTGTCTATCCCATATGACAACGCACCTTTTCGAAGGGGTAATAGATCGTGTACCTGCCGCCACCTCGTCAGCATGATTCGGACATGTCCCAGTTGGGTGGGAAAGTACCCACGGTGGCCTGAAGAATTGCTCCATCAGGATGTACATGCCCCGAAACATCTCGGTCAAAAGGAAGTACTTTCCGACCTTGTCGAATGTGCTTTCTTTTTCTTGATCCCACGTTGTCGGCGGCTTCAGGCGGAAATTCTTGGGTGGGGGGCCAGCGGGTGTCGCATAACCCCTCCTCGCGACCAACATTTGCGAAGGGACTGTGCGGAAGAGGGTCGAAGGAACCCGCACCATGGACATCTGGCGGGCGCCTAGTGAGGCGGCAGACGGCGCAATCATGGTGTCAATGATAGAGGCCGGAGCCGGAGCGACGAGCGAGTCGAGCGACGGGATTGGGCGGAGTTTGATCGTTGGCGGCGGGCCTTTTCGCGCAAACTTCGGGCAGGTGCGCGGAGTCAGAAATACGACTTGAATGGTGAACTGTCCTATTTAAAGGTCAATTACGTCGATGCAGCCGGCCTCGGCCAGTTTTCGGGCGTGTTGAAGAGTGATGAGGTGGAAGGCGATTTTCTGAGCACCCGGTGGCACTTGACGTCGTCCAACTTGGAGCTTGAAGCAAGCTGCAAAGGGTTCGGGGATTTGGCGCGATTACATTTCCAGGGAGCTGATTGGAGAAGGCTGGTGTTCTGACCCATAATAATGCACGTGACTGTGTCCGCTGTTCGCCTGTGTTCCCCGCCGACTGCGCCAAGAAAGCATTCTCACTGCCGATGGATGCATGGATGCATGGATGCAAATATTCTCTTCTGCCAACAAGATCTGTAAAAACTTTACGTTCAAATACTAGCTCTAAATGTTTGGGTATTATCCTCCATGGGGCAACATTATTGTAACAACACCCGACCCCACGTGTTCCACCACACTCCGATGTTGGCTGCCACGACCAAGTCCAGCATCTTCAAACCCTCGTCGTGGATGATGAGCTTCCCTAATTTAGCCCTCTTCCCCCCACTTCCCCCACCGGCGTGCTCTTGTCCGAGCCTGAGATTTATCGGGGTGCTATTGTCGCCATACCCAAAGTCTTCGTCTTCGTCGGATTCCTCGTCACTGCTCCGTGACCTATGACGTAACAGTTTGCTGAACTGTCCTGACAAGGCACCCTTGGACGTGCCATCTCGCTGGGAGGCCCGGTGGCCAGGCCCGTGGGGTAAGCTGAATCGCAATTCGCTGACGGGCTTCGCGCCCACCAAGACCGAGGATAACTCGTCGCTGCGTGAACGGCCCATCGCCTGCGCATCTCGGATACTCTGCGCGACCTCGCGGGGATCAATCCCTGCGCTGGCCGGGTCCAGCACGTGGCGGCACCTGAGGCTCCGGCCGTCGGCACTTGTCCGGAACTCGCACCGGCCATCCCAGGGGCTTAGGAAGACGTAACCCTTTTGGATTTCAATCCGGGGCCCTGGCTGGGATAATCAGCGTGGGCGAATGCCTGCCATCCGTCGAGTCTATCGAGCCAATGGTCGATGCACTGCCGTGCCGCGCATGAAAGGACTTTGGCGCTGCAGCATCCTCGGGGGACCCTCCTAAGCCGTGGACTGGACTGCCGGGACGCTCCCTGCGCTGAAAGGCTTTTTTGAAGTTCGACTTCCAGCCGCCGCCGTACGACATGACGACCTGACGTGTAAACCCCTCTTCCGCTGGCTTCCAAGCCGATTGCGAGACCGGACCCTTCCTTCCTACGGCCGCACCAGGCTGAGAGCGTTGCATCACTTGCTGAGAAAACGAATGTCCCGAAGTCGGCCGGTAAGCATCCACATCTGCCTTGCTTGGCATGTCGCGGTACTTCGCGTAACCAGAGGTTTCGAGCCGGACGCTGATCTTTTGCGCATGGGCTAGTAGGTCGCCCATGTTGTCGGGGTTAAGGGTTGGATCGGCTGTCTCCGGCGTGGGCACGTTCGTCTGGAACGATGAGATGGTGCCAACGTTGCACTGCGTTCCCGAGGTGGGATCTTTCCGGATCACGGTAAGTGAAAATGCCACCGAGCATGGACGAGCCCCTAACTTCCCTAGCGGCGCCGGTTTGGCTGGTTGCAGCCGGGGAGGTGGTGAGGAGACAGGTACGGGTTGGCCAGGGGGGTGCGCATCCGGTGTGTCCTGCGATACCGGCGTGACTGGACGGCGCTGCGACGCAGTGTTGGGCGCTGCATCAACACCGGTAGAGTGAATGTTTCCCGGCGCCTCCAATACCGTAGGGCTTAAAGGCTTCCTATATATCGCGGCGGACATCGGTTTTGGCCGAGAAACTACATCGGACGCCGCGGGCGGCCCTCCAGATCGTCGGTTTCGAAACATCGGGTTTTCGCGGTAGTCATCGACATCGGCGCTAGCCCGGGGCTGTGGTTCGGGGCCGGGGAACGGCACGGCGCTGTCGTTGGCAGTCGCTTGGAGGGTTGAGCCTCGAGAAACTGAAGGCGACGATGGCACAACGTTGTTGATGAGAGCCCCGTTTTCCGGTCCTAGCGTTCTGGCAGATGTAGGCAACGGCTTTCTGGGGATCGCACTCCTCGTACTTTCGCTACTGGATCGGGGCGAGGCCCCATCCTCGGGCCGTTGCGGGGCGGCGAGAAAACGGTCCTCTGGTGCATCGAGGTGGATATAGTAGAGGGCGGTCGTAATGTCTTCGCCGGTCACGTTTTTCTTTTGGGGTTTAAATGTCGAGAGGATAATGTCTAGGCAGCGGTTGGCGGCGGTCAGCAACAGCTGTGTGTATTATTCCACTTCTCACGCCATCACGCACCTTGTGTGCCGGGCACCCGGGAGATGTATAATGTAAGGGACTCGCGTACCTCGGGGTGATGGGGGTACTGAGGCGGGTTTGCTGCCAAGTAGTTGATGGTTGAGAGCGACCTTGCTTCGGGTTGCGGCGTTGGCCTGGCCCCCATTTCCAACTCCGAATTGCGAAAGCTCGCGAGTGCACAGGTGGGGACTTTGGAGCGGACTGGCGCGGGAAAATCGCGAAATCAATCCTTTGAGTCGCAACGGTCGGTAGCAAAGTCAAAATCGAGGTGCCAAACACTGGTTGCAGATAACTAAAGATTATTCGGGTTGTATTTGTTCAATCTTGGCTCGTGCCCGTCCGATGTCTTCGCTTCAAAGGTGTCCCAAAAAGCTGTGTCCACCGTGACTGGGTTCTTTCGGTCTCCAGCCGCCAAGCCACCCGACAATCAGAGGCCGATGACGTCGCCCAAACCGCGGGGCGGTGCGTGGCCGAAATCGTCAGCACTTTGAGGCTGTGTGAATGTCCGCGGTGTTTCTTTTTATCGATTCACTTGCCAACCTGGCTAGAATCAGGTTGCCTACTAATCCAAAAGATTTTCGCTCAAGATTGGCTTTGAGGAAAACGTTCTCGCCGGCTGGGAAGGACAGAGGGGCGCCCTTTGTCACTTCACCCCACCAAACACTCGTTGCTGCCCAAGGGCCAATGTTGAGCGGCGCGGGCGAGGGTGGCACACCACAAGCAAAAGTTACGGAAGTCTTAACTTTCTAACTTTATTATTTCTTTTCTCTTCTTTAAGTAGCTAATTAGCTATTAATCTATGAATTCCTTGATCCTCTCATTCAACAAAACCGATTCAGTGAATCTTCTAACACAATTCATTCTAATTTTTTTTCTTTTTTTGGGGGCTCTTTGCCTTCTTCCTCTTTTTTTTTTCTACTTTTTTGCTTTTTGCTTTTTCTCTGCCTATTTCACCCCCCGATCATCACGACTTTGCCTTCTGCACAATCAACGCTGCCAGATCGCTGAGGGTCCCGCTCGACAACAGCTCCAAAATCTGGAGATTGACACGAAGCTCCTTAGCGATCCAATTCCGAAGCTCAATAGCCGTGAGCGAGTCTAACCCGTACGACGTGATGTTTCTGTCGACATCCACATCCTCCACCGCAACGCTCAAGACCTCCGAAAGCTTCTCTGCAAGACCCCGGGCCGCAACATATGCTGCCTCCTCGTCCGACCTTGCCCCCCGGAACGCCTCCCCCGGAGACACATCTTCCTTCACCACGAGTCCTTCCTCCTCGGCGGCTGCCAAGCCTTCGGCCTTCAAATACGCAAAGCGGGCGTCGTTGGCGAAGTAGGGCCATTGGCCATCGCTGCCAAGATGCAACTTCAGCCCTGTCAGGGTTTGACAGGGAGCAACACCACGGACGGCGGCTGAGAGAAGCGCCAAGACCTCCGCTTCGTCAAGCGTCTCGTCCCCAAAGTTGCGCAGGATTTCCCTCTCCCTGTTGGCGTTTTCAGCAAGGTACCCGACCCCTGTGACCGCGGTCAGATCCAGCGAGTTGCCGGGCAAACCCCGGTGTCTCCGCGATTCCATTAGCGAGTCGAGGAAGGTGTTTGCAGCAGCGTAAGCGGCCTGTCCGCGGCTGCCGATGATGCCCGCCGCTGAGGAGAAGGCGACAAAATAATCCACTTTGATGCCCATCCATGCAAGGGCAATATCAAGGTTGCATGCGCCGTGTGCCTTTGGCGCGATGACGTCGTAGTAATCTTGACCGGTCATGTTTTCGAGTAGACCGTCCCGAAGCACCATTGCAGCGTGGACCACGCCGCGAATCGGGGGCAGATGCTTCGCACAATAGTAAATGTCTCGCCGGACATGGTGAAGTTTGCTAACATCGCACCTCAACACAAACACATCGGCTCCGTATTGTGTCATCTCGTCTCGCAGATGGTCAATCACGTCTTCGCCACCACTTCTCGAAAGCAGCGCAATAGTGCGTGCGCCGTTCCGGATCATGTATTTAGCCACGGATCGACCCAAGCCGCCCGTTCCACCGACAATGATATGGGTCCCTGGGCTTTGGAACAAGTCGCCCGACTTTTCCTTCAGGGTCATCACCGATTCATCCCCCTCCTGTGTCGCAATCACCACGTGGGCCATATAACCGTCCCGTATCAGTGCTATCCCCTCGGGCAGGCTCGAGATCATAAACGTTGTGATGCAGATGCCCGGCGAAAGTTCGCCCGCGTCAAAGTTGGAGACAACCTCCGTCAAGGCTTCCTTCATATCTTCCGGATACTCGACAGCAATACTGAGCATGTCGACGGACGCGAAGACCGTGTTTGCGCGCAGGTGGGCTTGCGTCCTCTTGTGATTACCTGGCCCCTTGATCTCAACAAATATCCCAAAAGCACGGAGGCACTCCCACGTGCTGCCATTTTCGCACCCTGATATGGCCAAACAGACATCCATCCCCCGGCCCTCCGTGACCTCCCAAATCTGCTCGGCCAGATGGATGTTTCGTGCGTCAAGGACGCGGTTGGACGGCAATATTGTCTCTACCAGTATCTGGTGCTCATCGTTCGTGACTAGAGCATAGTAGTCGGCCCCGAACTTGTGCGCCACCCTAAGTGCGGCAAATCCGATGGGCCCCGAGACTTGGATGAGCACACGGTCGAATCGCTTGACTCGGGCAATCTCTTTGAAGGCGTAATGTACGGGGAGGAAGTGGACGGGGATGCACGCAGCCACCTCCATGTCGATGCCGTCTGGGAGGAGTGCGACACTAGTAGAGCTTGCCCGAACGTAGGTCGCGTAGGGACTGTTGGTGAGGGCGCAAACCTTCTGTCCCACGGAGATGTCATCGACCTGTGCACCAATACGGGTGACATAGCCGGCGCAGCTGCGGTGAATGGTCGCGCCTGGCTCGTCCACGGTCCCTGTTGTGACGTCGTCGACTGATAGAGCAGTCGCATGGACCTTAATCTCAACTTCGTCCGCCCCCAACACGCCAAAGCAGCTGTCCTCGAAATAGAGGTCCTCGGGAGAAGAGGCATCTGTGCCACGGTGAAGTTGCAGCCGGCGAGATGGCTCATATGCTTGGAGATATGGCACGGCGTGGCCCAAGGAGCGGTGGACGTCCAGATTGAGTTCAGGGTCGGGAAGAATCCGGGGAACGACAAGCTTCCCGTCCACTTCGGCAAACTCCATCTCAGCCTCTGGATTTTCCGAGAGCACCGATAGGGCGAATGCGTCAACGACCAGCTTGGCTTGTAGATCGATGGAGGTGTTGTAACCAGGATCCAAGTCGAGCGTGCTTGCGACCGCGCCCCTTTCCGAGCGGGCTGTCCGGACCAAACCGAGACCTAAGTTCACAGTCGGCGTCTGTGGAATGCGATAAGCCCCTTTCGTCACCCACATGACGCCACGGGACTCAGTGAGTATCTTCGTGACGATATTGATCGGGATGTGACAGTGGTCAGCAGAGTAGATTGCAGCCGTGTCCAGTTCGGGAATAATGACAAAGCAGCTACTCCAATCCCAAGGGTAGTCGTAGGGGACTGGCCACATCCATAAAGCCCGGCGCAAGCCGGCACGCACCGTGTTATTCAGATGCAGGACCAAGCTCCACATGAATGGGTCGTTGAAGACGTTCTCGTTGAATCGAGTGACAACGGCCACGAAGATTGGCGTATCCTTTCCGACCCTGGGCACGGCTGAGTTCATGTCCAACGCGCCCTCGTCCAGTTGGTCCCAATGCATCTTGAAGCACAACTCGCGCGGTGGGGCTTTCGGCGGGAAGGGCACCAACGCCTTGAACCTCACGCCCAGCATGGAAACGGCCGCCGACCCCACGGCCACATTACCAATGGCGCCAAAGAGTTCCACCGTGGAAGAAGCCCTGTTTTCATCCAGAGTTGCTTTCACAGCCGTCTGGTTGCCCAGACTCGGGCGCCAATCCGCAACAATAGCTATGTGACGGATCGAGGACAGGAGGCATGGTACCTCAGACGGCCTGCCATCCTCGTTCTTGTGGGTGAATAACGTTGCCTGGAGCATGGACTCGACGATACCCGGGTGAGCTCCGTAGTGGAGGTCGTCCATGATGAAGAGCTCGCGAAGATCTGACACCCCCGTCACTTGGTGCTCCTTCACTCTGACATTGGTCAAGGTCCTGAAAGCCTCTGGGTATGTGAACCCCTTTCCCATCAGCCTGAAATACACCTCTTCTTCATGATATTCCTTTAGCTCGGATGCATACAGCTTTGAGCCACAGTCGATCTCCGGGCGCTCAGACACCGGCATGTCTGGCATTGCTGTCACAGTCCCAGTGCAGTGCTCCGTCCACTCCTGGGTTGGCCCGTAGGACAAAATCTTGAACCCGTGGCTTCTCTTGTCCCCTGAATTCGAGGCCTGGAAGCTTACGAGTACCTCAACGTCTTGGTCGTCCATCAAGTACAGATGCTCAGAAACCACAAGGTCCCTGATTTCAAACGCCACAGTAGATAGCTCGTTCATATATGCGGTCTGGGCTGACGCCTGGAAGACCATGGAGATAAAGACTGACATGGGAAACACCATGCGGGAACAAACCTGGTACTCCCTGACCTTGGGCAAGTCTTCTGTGCGGATAATGTTTCGCCATGTCGGGTTTAGAGAATCGGACCAGTCAGCCAACGTGCCCAGCGCGTCGTATCTTGGGAATGGCTTGAACCGGTGCTGGTGGGTAATTCTGGACTCGTAGCAGTATCTTTGGCGCGACCACGGGTATGTGTACAGGGCTGCAAGCAGCTCCGGCCTCTCTGCCTCTTCGCGGTTATGGTTGATCTCGAAGAAGTTCAGGGGGTAGCCGTGAAGGAAAAGCTGGCCGGCCGTTTCCAGGCATGTCCGCGTGGCATCCTGGCCGCGGACCAGGGTGGGGAGATACGAGATCTTCATGGCCGCCGGACCCAAAAACTCCTTGATCCCTTGCAGGATGGGCCCCTTGAGTGCGGCGTGGGGCCCGATCTCTACGAGTATGTCGGGCGAGTATTCGTTGCAGAGCTGCTCCAAGGACGTGGAAAATTGGACGGCCTCGGTGAGATTGTCGACCCAGTATCGTGGTCCCAACCTCTCAGGGCGAACCTTGCAGCCACGGAGCGATGAAAAGAATTGGACATCGCGGTTGCGCCCGTCCAACGGTTCAATGAGGCCGATCAAGAACCTATATGCGGGGGCAATTATGCCCATATGCCGGGAGTGGTATGCCACATCAACGAAAAGCTTCCGATGAAAGATATTGGCGCTCTGCAAGTGTTCGGCTATCAGGTCGATGCCCGCCTCGTCACCGGACAGAGTGACCGACATGGGCGAATTCACGCAAGCGATCGTCACCTGAGGTTGATGAATACGGTTCATCGCCTCCACCAACTCCTGAATGTCGTCCGCGTTATGAGACACCGCCATCATAGCGCCTCTCAGCTGCGGATGGCTGTTTCGCAGCTCGATGACTACCTGACCCCTCCAGTAAGCGATGGTCATGGCGTCCACAAAGGTCAAGGCGCCTGCGGCATAAGCCGCTCCAATCTCTCCGCTCGAGTGGCCCGTGACGGCGCCGGGCGTCACACCGAAGGAGGCAAAAAGGTCGGTTAGGGCTAGCTGCACTGCGGTGCAGATGGGCTGGCTGATCTGGGCCAGGCCGACCCTGGTCGAATCCTCATCTCTGTTGAGTTCCTCAGAGGCGGTGAAATCGGCACGTAAGACGCCTAGTACATTGTCAGCGCGTTTGATAGAGTCTAGGAACACGGGATGCGTTTTCATGAGCTCCCGGCCCATGGCAAACCACTGGGCGCCCTGCCCAGTGTACACGAATGCCACTTTAGGAGGCACGCTGGGTGCCCGTGTCGGGACGGCCTCGTGGCTGTTGATGGCCTTGGTGACGTCGCTACACATGCCCGCAACAACGGCCATCCGCCATTGCAAGTGTGACCGGCGTTGGCAAAGTGTGTAGGCCAGGTTCCGCGGCATGGTGGTTTGGTAAAGCTCGGCGTGCTGTTCGATCCAAATCCCCAGTTTGCTCACGGACTTGCGAAGTGCCGTTTCATCGTTGGCCGAGAGTACGAAGAGCCTGAGAGGGCTGTAGGCGCCGTTATCGGCGATTTCAATGCTTCTGCATCTCGGGGTAGTGCTCAGGACGCAAGTCGAGTTGGATCCGCTAAAGCCGAAGTTGTTGATACAGAGACGGTTGGTGTTCCTCGGCCACGGCTTCTGTCGTGTTGCCACACGCATGTTCCACGCCGCCAATGGGATGGCTTCATTTACCCGCTCGAAGTCGGCATTGGGCAGGATGAAACCGTAGTACAGCATGAGAGCTCCCTTGATGATCGAAATGATGCCGCTGGCACATTCCAGATGGCCAACATTGGGCTTCACGGACCCAATGTGGAGCGGGTTCTCGGGCGAAAAATAACGACCGACAGCGTTGTAAATACCCCTGGCTTCGATCGGGTCCCCTTTCTTTGTACCTGTTCCGTGAGCCTCAAAAAAGCCCACTTCCCAGGGGTGGATGCCCGCCTCCCTGAGCACTCGGGTAACCAGCTTCTCCTGGGCGTCGGGGCAGGGAGCCACGATGCCGACGGTACGTCCGTTGTGGCTAATACCCGTGTGCGTGATGACGGAAAAGATATGGTCATTATCAGCCCGGGCCTGGTGCAGCGGCTTCAGGATTAAGCACCCGGCGCCTTCGCCCCGCGCATACCCCGACTTGGCGCGGTGGTCGAAAGCGTGGGTCCTGCCGTCAGCCGAGAACAGGCGGAGGTTTCCCATGGATGCCCAGATGTCCGGGTCGGTTATGAGGTGGGACGCGCCCACGATGGCTTGCTCCGACTCCCCTGACCGGATACTCTGCACAGCGAGGTGCAAAGCATGCATGCTGGACGAGCACGCAGTGTCGACGGTAATTGTTGGGCCTCGTAAGTCAAAGTAGTAAGCCAGCCTACCGGCGAGGAAGGCTCCTTGGTTGCCGGTGGCATCGAAGCTTGGGGTGTTGTCCAAGTCGCGGAGGTTGGCAACCCGGTGTTCCCCGTAGTTACCGCCGATGAACACACCAACCTTCTTACCTGCTACCGACTCTTTCGGTGCTCCGGCATTCTCCAAGGCTTCATATGCGCATTCTAGCAACAACCGCTGTGCAGGGTCTGGAAGCCAAAGTCAGGTCAGCAGTTGCTTCTCTGGTCGCCATTTACCTCGCCATCACTTACCCATTGACTCAGCTTCCTTCTTGGTGATATCGAAGAATCCGGCGTCAAACATGTAGATGTCGTCTTGGATGAAGTAGCCACCTTCAGAGTTAAAGCAACCCTTCTTATTCGGGTCCGAGTTATGATATGCCTTCGCGTTGAAGCGGTCGGCGGGCACTTGTGACCATCCTGCTCTTTTGCGGCATAGCATGCGGTAAAAGTCACCAGGAGTCTTTATGTCATCTGGCAAACGGCAAGACATGCCGATAATGGCAATTTCCATGAGGTTCGCCATGTTAAATATGAATGAAGACTTGAAGAATGTGTGAGTAGGATGAACCAGGGATTATGGTGGGTCCAGATATGTGGGAGAACAGAACGGTGGTTCGAGCAAAGAGTGAACGAAAAGGTTTGCAAAAAAGTTGCCTTGGTGGGGGGTGGGGGGGGGGAGGGGTGAATAAGTAGACGAAGAGAGGCAACGAAGACAGCCAAATCAGACCGGCGGGTCATGTGAGGTGCTTTGACACTCGCATTGTGAGGCGGGCAACGAGGAGGGGAAACAAACGTTTAATACCTATTATTAAAAAGAATGATAGGTTGAAAAATATGTCAGTCATGTGTACCCAAGCCTGCCTCTGCCTTGAACATTCACTGCGCAGTCAGAGGTCTGTGCCATCCATTGACTGATCTGGCCGGTCTGATTTGGTTCTACTGCTTTGCCCGGTCTGATTTGATTCTACTGCTTTGGCCGGTCTGAATTGGCCGGTCTGATTTGGTCGGTGGGCGCGCAGCTTATATTCATGGCCTCCCTCCCTCTTCCCCCCCTTCTTTTTGTTTCAACCAACCTATATGCCACACAGACTTTTACCAACACAGCAGCCTTTTTATAACCAACACACCAACCTTATTATAACGAACACACCAACCTTTTCTCAACCAACACACCATCACTCTTTCATTTCCAAAATGAAGTTTCTTTGCCTCCCCGGTGCTTATGGCAGCGCAAATGTATGTCTGTTGGCTCTTGAGTGTTGCTGCTATTGCCACTGTCCTTTTCCTCATCCAGGTCAACATGCTCACTCGTATTCTAGAACTTCCTCGTGCAGTTGGGTCCATTAGCTGACGAGCTCGGCGACCGCGGATTGGGGTCATTCACTTACACTCAGGGCAAGCACGAAGTTGAGCCACCGGCAGGGTGGGAAGATTACTTTGGAGCACGGCCGTTCTACCGCTTCCTTGACACGCGCCATGGCGATAATTTCGAAAACCTCCGTCGTCTGCGCCACTTGCCGCCCAGCCTGAACCCCGAGGAATCCATGCGGATGTTCCAGGAATGTAGCAACGGAGAAGATTGGCACCAAGAGGTTTGGTGCGAGGCCCTCGGTGATGTATTCAAAACCCTCGACGAGAACCCCGAAGTGGACGCCATCATCGGTTATTCCGAGGGCGCCATGTTGGGCGCAAGCGTGATCGTTGAAGAGGCCCGTCTGGCAGAGGAACAATGCCGTCGCCCACGTATCAAGGTAAGACAACGCAGGCTGTTCCCACGGGGGTACGTACATACAGAGGTGTAATCACAGTAGCCTAACGAATTACACAGTTTGCCATCTTCATCGCTGGCGCCCCTCCCCTGAAGCTCCAAGGCGACAACCGCGTCGTCGCCCAGCTTTACGACCAAGTTGGGGTTGTCATCAACATCCCTACCTTTCACATATTCGGCTGCAACGACGCGTTTCTTGGAAGCGCAGTCGCCCTGTACAACGTGTGTCACCCTGAACGCGCCAGAATGTTTGACCATGGGTACGGCCATATTGTGCCCCGCGATGCCGAGACCGTCCAAGTTCTCTCCGACATTCTTGAAAAATTGATCCCAAGAGTCGAGGCTGGGCTCCCGGTGGACGACGAATGCGAGTTTGATCATGAGTTTGTATATACCATTGACCATGAGGGGATGGTATCAAAGCTTGTGGATAGGGATATGGGTATCCATCTGGGTAAGTATGGGAATAAGGATGAGGTTGAGTCTTGTGGTGAGTATGAAGATGAGCAGTATAAAAATAAGGAGTATGGAG